TCCCCCCCCCCCCCTTTTTTGCTCTATCAAGTCATTCATTCAAAGCAGTGTATCTTTTGTGATTCGCAGCAGCCCTTCTGGCAAATGAACAGAGGCTCAGGGAGACGAAGTAGCCTGTCTGAGGCCACATGGCAGTTGTGGCAGAGGCAAAGCTAGAACCTAGACCTGTCTAGGTGCAGTGGTAACGTCATTCTCCCTTTACAGAGAGGCGTCATGGGCTTCCGGAAGTTTTCCCCCTTCCTGGCTTTCGGCATCTTGGTCCTGTGCCAGGTGGGCAGCCTCCAGGGGGCGCCATTCAGGTAAGATGACCTGAAGCCAGGGGCGCACTCCTCTCCTGCTGCCCCTAAGGTCAGACAGCTTTGTGCCTCTGAAGTCACCCGTGGCCCCTGGTGAATCGGTGTCCTCAGGTGGATACTGGCCTCGTGCCCTGTCCTCTGGAAGTTGGGGTGGAAGAAACAGGGACCAGAAAGCCTGGCTGCTTTTCCTGGGGAGGGGTTGGGCAGGGGCTCACAAGCCTGCACTGGGTTTGTTTCCATCCACAGGTTGGCCTTGGAGAGCAGCCCAGACCTGGCTACACTCAGTGAGGAGGAAGCGCGCTTCCTGCTGGCTGCACTGGTGCAGGACTACATGCAGATGAAGGCCAGTGAGCTGGAACAGGAGCAGGAGCAGGAGCAGGAGCAGGAACAAAAGACAGATGGCTCCAGGTGAGGCTCCCCAAGGCCCCCTCCCTCCAGGGCCTCCCCTCCCCCAGGCACACCCAGAAAGGCATATCCCAAGAGGTAGGAGAAAACACACTGGCCAGGCGACCAGCAGCCCGCGTTGTTCACCAGGACCTGGGGCCCAGCTGTTCTCACGCTCAGGCGTGAAGCCAGAGGATGGACCAGGTATCCCAGGAGGTTTTAGAATTTTCACCTATGTTGTTCTTTCACACCTGCAAGGAGCCTTCATTTCACATTTGCAAGGTGAAGGCAAAGGCCTTGCAGGGGGTGGGGCCTGGTAGAGCAGTGTCTGAGGTAGGTCTGGAGCATTCATGAGAAGTGCATGTTGTCATGGGGCGAGGGACAGCATCCTTCCTCAGCCCCAAATCTCTGTGCACCCCGAGCCTGAGCAGAGACAAGCCTCTGGTCTGGCCCCAGCACTGCCCAGGCAGAGGCATGTGTTGCACCTGCATTCACCCTGAGAACCCCTCTGCTGAGCATGAAAGGCTGAGCAGTATGTGGAATCCCAGAGAGGTCACCCTTGCCCAACCAACCCTGCCCCACACTGTCTTGCACCTCTGAACCCTCCTCCCTGCCCCTCCTGCTCCCACTCAATGCACCCGCTGCTTGGTCGAACCTTCTGAGTGACTGCCCAGGAGGACAGCCCCATGTCTTTTCCCTGCAGCCTGGACGGCCTCAGATCTAAGTGGTATAATAATCTGAGTACTGTGTGCTGGACACGTACTCATGGGACCTGAACACTTCAGATGCTCCCTGGTATCAACTTCAGTGCTGAAATGTCTGGTGAGAAAAGGAACATAGACAGCACATGCAGAGAGACCGATCCCCCACTTTGGGGTGCTCTGGGCTGCCAACTGAACTCTTCCCACTCTCCCAATTCTCTTTTTACTCCACTTTATGAACTTGATGCATGTGAATTCATCTCTGATTGCTATTCATGCTGGTAGCGACCGCCTTGTTTATGACCAAGAATGTTTTGGGGGACCTCAGGATGGAAGGGGAGAGAGCAGAACTCATAGGCCAGTTAGAGACAGGAGAGAGTGAAGGAAGCTTCTTGAAACTCTAGAGGATTTTATGATGGAGCCATCCAATTTATGCTTCTGAATGTGCTAAAATAAGCATATACTCCCCACCTCATCATTTGATGGATAAGTCTATTTTTCTAAAGGGACCTGAGCTATGGTGTTCTTTGCTCTGGTCTACCCAAGGTTTGAGGGTGTCCAGGGCCTATCCTTAGAAGTAGCCTTAGCATCAGGGTAGCTGAACATGGGGCTCAGTGGGTAATCTGTGACCCAGCTCAAGCAGCACTAATGAACAGGTAAGTACTTCTGGGAGAGGATGCTGCAAACCCTGTTCTCTGAGCCTTTTCTAGGTAAGACTTTAGGGAAATTTCACTTTTCCATAAAAAGTGGTTTTTGTTTTTGTTGCTTGTGGCTGGGATGTGGCCTTGTATGTCTTGGAGTGGGACTGGGCCAGGCTGCCCACTCTTTCCTTGACTGATAAGTACAGAATTTCAGTATGTGCCTCATGGTTTGGAACTGGGCTTTTTTCTTTCTTGTGATGGTCTTTGGGCAGAGTTCCTAGCAAAGGCTTCTAGGCCATTTTCCCTAACAGCTTTGATAATTGCATTTTGGAGAAACACTTATTGTTAAGTGGTGTATCAAAGAGCTGCAGTTCTTTTTATGATGGTCCCATGGGGCAGGCTCCCCGCCCGCCCGCCCCAGTCACTCACTCACAGGTTTTTTTCCTTCTCCATCTTGCAAATCAGTGTCATTACTCAGAAGAGATCCTGCAGCACTGCCACCTGTGTGACCCATCGCCTGGCAGGCTTGCTGAGCAGATCGGGGGGTGTGGTGAAGAGCAACTTTGTGCCCACCGATGTGGGTTCCAAAGCCTTTGGCCGGCGCCGCAGGGACCTTCAGGCCTGAGCAGTGAAATGACTCAAGGAAGAAGGTGACTACCCTTGCACTCTGGGATGGGAGGGGTAGGGATTGGGAGGTTAAGAGTCACATTTTGAAACCCACTGGCCCTCGTAGGTTCTTTAGATTCCTTCTCTCCAATTGTATTTTTTTTCTCCTGAGATAGTGAGTTCCTTCTAGAAATGAGCTTGAAATCAGAATGCTAGGACAGGCTTTAGAGATGCAGTGTCATTTTTCTGAGAAAATAAAAAAAAAACGTTTCTGGATTTGAAAAGGGCCTGTAACCCTTAGCTTAGGGCCACTCCTCATTAATGAGCCCAGGTTCAGAAAGGACTCAACCCTTGTTCATAGACTGGAGAGCTGTAATCATAACCCACTACCAATATTCATAACTGCAGTTGAATTGTTTTATTCATTTGCCTTACAATCCTGCTTACCTCTCACATTCACAATTCATAAATGCTGCTTAGTTTTGGAAGCACTTCTGTAAATTAGTATTCTTTTCAGTAATAATTGTGATTCTTCACTTGTCCTTCTCATACATTTCCCCCCTTCTCTTTCTTGTCCTTTACCTCCCCCTTCTCTTCCTCTTCTTCCTTCCTTTTTTTCTTCTTCCTCCTCCTTTAATTCTCCTTCCCCTTCTTTTTTTCTCATCTCAGATTACCATGAAGCTGAACTCACCACTTCTATTAATTTCTGTTGACAACAACTTGGTGAGAACGCCCCATGGAAGACGCACATGTTTGCATCCTAATAGATACTGAATAAAAAGCACCTTTGTCACTTGAAAGGAATGGAACCAAATGTAAAACAAGTTAATTCCATATTTGTTGTGCATCATTTTTATATTTAATTCCATGTTCAGTAAATGTGATGACCTCTCATTGGCTTATCTGGTAGCAAATTGGTTCTTTGAGAACCATCCTGTTGATCGTGGCAGTTCTGCCAAACCTTAGGGGGACATGAAATCACTGCCTCTTGTGACCTCTAGGGACACATGGTAATGGTGATGCTGTGCCTTGTTGTCTAAGAACATGATTGTAAAATTTGTTTAAGAAAACGTCAATATTGTGCCACTTGTGAACTTCATCAAGATTAAAAACATATTTTAGATACATTTGTTTTAAGACTCTGGTGGTTCATTTCAACTTGTTTTCCTATGTAATAATATTAATAATAAATATTTTTGAGTGCTTACTATGGGCCGATTGATATTTTAAGACATTGCTTTATAGCTATGAAGCCATTTCATCTTAACACCATGAGTTAGATGCTGTTATTTATTCCACATCACATCTGAGGAAATGGGCAGGGAAAAGCCGAGGGTCAGACAGATAGACAGTGGCGGACACAAGTGTTGGTTTCCAGAGCTTACAGTTTAAGCCAATGCTCGATATGCTTTTCTTCTTCTTCTTCTTCCTCCTCCTCCTCCTCCTCCTCCTCCTCCTCCTCTCCTCCTCCTCCTCCTCCTGAGTTGGAGTCTCACTCTGTCACCTAGGCTGGAGTGCAGTGGCACACTCAAGGTCACTGCAACCTCAACCTGCTGGGCTTAGGCAATCCTTCTGCCTCAGCCTTCCCAGTAACTGGAACTACAGATGCATGCCACCACGCCCAGCAAATTTTTGTGATATATTGTAGAGATGAGGTCTCACCAAGTTGCCCGGGCTGTTTTTAAACCCCCAGGCTCAGGCAATTCTCTCTCCTTGGCCTCCCAAAGTGCTGGGATTACAGACTGAGCCACCGAGCCTGGCCTCTGTATGCTTTTCAACAGTGGCTGCCGATGGTTCCTGATGACCTGTGAGCCATTCTTTTACCTAACTGCCTGATACAGTAGACTCTCAGATTTTATAGACACATGGAAAATTTTAAACATACAAACAACCTAGTCTATATAAAATGTAATGAATTTTTTGTACCCAATACTTGGCTTCAAAAATAATCAGTGGTCAATGTTGCATATGTATACCATCCATCCCCCTTCCTCCAGAGTAGTATTATATCAATACATCCATCAATATTTCACCGTGTATTTATTTAATTTTATTTTATTATAGAGATGGGGGGTACAAGTAAGGATTAGTTACACAAATAGGCTGCATGCAGGTGAAGTTTGGGCTTCCAACTGGCTCTCACTTCCCCTGGTATAGGACTAGGTATGCTTTGTGTTGTTATGTGTCCCCCCCAACCCCCAGCAGTGCCCAGTGACTAACAATCTCTCCCTTGTGCTAATACAGTTAATGTTCAGGTATGAGTGCAAACATGCTCAACATGTATTTCTAAATGGGAAGGACTTTAAACAGAACCAAAAATATCACTTAACTAAAATAAACGAACAATAATTTCTTAATTCTTGCATATCACACATCTAGTCATGGTTCAAATTCTCCTTTGATCATGTACACGTGTGTAAAATATAGATACAATCAGGGCTCATATTGGCTCTTCACCTTGCTGTGGGCTGATATGTTTTAGGACTCTCCCAGTCTAGAGATTTCCCATCCATTCTTTTCCCCATTACAATGTACTTGTTGGAGAGATTGGTTATTTGTCCAGCAAAGTTTTCCACATTATGAATTCTGCGATTTAACATGTTCTCTGTGAATCAGCAGTCAGACATGGAGTGAGTGATAGGGAGGAGGAGGAGATGATGTCAGAGAGTGAATGGGGAAGACGGGTCATGTAGGACTTTGTAGGGCACAGGAAACACTTTGGTTTTTTGCCAATTTCTAGCTAGGAAAACAGAAGCTGCATCAGTAATTTGGACAAGAAGAATTTAACAGAAGGAATTAGCTAAGTATGTATTCGAGTGGTGAAAAGGCAAAAGAGAAGAAGAGGAGGGTCAGAGATAGAATGTGGGAGGACTAGGGGAACAAAGAGAAGAGGTGGGGTGAGTAGAATCTGGAGACCTGGAGAAGGATTCTCGACCCCTGAGCAGGGAAGTTGCAGATGTGGGGATCTCTGAGGGGGGGGAGGAGGGCGCAACAAGGCTGTTGTAGCAGTACGGAAAAACAAAACAAAACTGGAAACTGGAAAGAACTTCCCTGCCAGAGTGGGGCAACTCTGTGGTTGATGTTGACAGAAACAGAAATCAAAATTGGTAGAAGGTTCATGTCTCTTAAGTCCTCTTAGGGACGCCCAACTGGCAGAGCCTAAAAGAGGTCCAACTGACAAAGACAGTTAGCTCGCAGAGTCCCAGTGCCAGTATCTCATTTTCAGCATGTAATTTAAAATTTACATATAGAAAAGTTCATTCTTTGTGCTGTATAGTTATATGAGTCTTGACAAATATGCTGCATAATATTATCACTGCCACAATAAAGATATAAACCAGTCCCATTACTCCCCCCAACGTCTCCCATGCTTCCCCTTTGCAGTCAATTGTTCCCTCAGCCTCCAACCTCTAATAATGACTGTCCTGTTTTCTGTTCCTCCTCCTTTTTGTCTCTCCCCAGAATGTCATATGTATGTAGTTTTGAGTCTGACTTCTTTCACTTAGCATAATGCACTTGAGATTTATCCATCTTTGCATGTATCAGTGACTTGTTTCTTTTTATTACTGGGTAGTAGTACACTGCAGGCTGTACCACACTTGATTTATCAATTTACCCATTGAAGCTGTTTCCTGTTTTTGGCATTCATAAATAGAAGTACTATATACATACACACATATTTGTGTGAAGATTAATGTAATGAGCTGAATGGAATCTCCCCAAAAAGTATTTCCGTGTCCTAATCACTGGAACCTGTGAATGTTAGCTTGCTTGAAGAAAAGATTTTTGCTTATGTAACTAAATTAAGAATCTTAAAAATGAAACCATCTTGGGTTATCCTAGTATGTCCTAAATCCAGCGATGTGTCCTCAGAGATACAGAGAGAAGATCTATGTAGAAGAGTGGGTGACATGAAGACAGAAGCAAAGAGGCACAGGCCAAGGGAGACAGTGACCACCAGAGCTACCAGAACTACTCACAGAATGGATTCTCTCCTGAGTCTCTGGAAGAAGCACAGGCCTGCAGACAGCTAGATATTGTACTTCTGGCCTCCAGAACTTTGAGAGAATATACTTCTGCCGTTTAAGTCACTAAGTTTGTGGTAATTTGTTATGCAGCCCTAGGAAACAAAAACAATACATTTTTATTTCTTTTGGGTAAATACCTTGGAGTAGGATTGTTGGGTTATTTGGCAAGTGTATGTTTAACTTTGTAAGAAAGTTATAAAGTGACTGTATCATTTTGCATTCCCACCAGCCATATATGGGAGTTGTAGTATTTCCACAAATGAGTATATAGTAGTATCTCATTGTGGTTTTTATTAGCATTTCCCTAATGATTAATTATGTAGAGCATCTTCTCCTGTGCTTATTTGCCTTCTGTTTATCACTTTTGTTGAATGTCTGTCAAAATCTTTTGCTAAATTTTTAGTGTGTTGTTTGCTTTATTAATTTTTTGGTTTTGAGAGTTCTGTGTTATGCATGCAAGATCATTAACGAATACATATTTTGGAAAAATTTCCCTCCAATCAGTGGATTGTTTTTCATTTTCTTAGCAATGTCTTTCATAGAAAATAGTTTTAATGTTGATGAGATTCCATTTATTAATTTTGTTCCTTTTATGTATTGTGCTTTTGGTTCATATCTTAGACCTCTTTGCATAACTTAAGGTCCCAAGAGCACAATGACTTATTCTATACTTTATCATAATAAAACTTTTATAGTTTTATGTTTTATATGTGGGTCAATGATCCATTTTGAGTTAATTTTTGTGTAAGGTGAGAAGTGTAAGTAGAGATTAATATCTACATATATATGCCCAACTGTTTCTATATCATTTGTTGGAAAGACCATTATTTTATCATTTCATTGTCTTTACACCTTTGTCGGAAATCAGTTGATTATACTTGTGTGGGAATATTTCTGAGCTTTCAATTCTGTATCATTGATTTGTGTGACTATCCTTTTGCCAATGTCATATTGCCTTGCTTATTGTAATCAGGTAGTGTGGGTCCTCCGACATTAAGTCCTTTTCAAAATGAGTTTGACTATTTTAGATTCCCCATCTTTTGTTACACATTTTAGAATCAGCTTGTCAATATCTACGAAATCGCTGGTGAGATTTTTATTGGGATTTTGTTGAATTAGAAGATTAATTTTGGGAGAATTCACATATTAACAATATTACACCATCCATTTCATGAACACAGTGAATGTTTCCACCAATTCAGATCTTTGTTTTTTTTTAATCAGTGTTTTTTTGTTTTCAGCATAAAGATCCTGCACATATTTTGTTAGATTTATGACTTTTTTTGGTGTTAATGTAAATGATATTTATTTAAAAAAAATTTAGTTGTTCATTGCTAGTAGATAGAAATACAATATTTAAAAATATTAACCTTATATTTTGTGACCTTGCTAAACTCACTTATTCATTCTATGAAATATTTGTAATTTCTTTGGGATTTCTTTTGTAGATATTTATGCTTTCTTTAAAAAGAGTCAATTTTATTTCTTCCTTTTTAATCAGCTCATCTTTTATTTCTTTTTCTTGACTTATTACACTGGCTAGAACTTCCAGTATACTGTTGAATTGCAGTCGTAAGTGCAGTTATCCTATTCAGTTTTTGTGGTGGTTTAATAAAAAAGTCCACCAATTTTTTGGTACTACTTACTTTAAAATGTGGAGTCAAAATCCCCTTCCCTTAAGTGTGAATTCTATTTAGTGACTTACTTCTAACGATCAAATATGGCAGAGGAGTTGATATGTGACATTCAGTTAGAACATATAAGGTTTCATGGTGTCTCCTTGCTTTCTCTCTTGGGTCACTTGTAATGGGGGAAGCCAGCTGACTTGTGAGCACACTCAAGCAGCCCTATGAGAGAGCTACATAGCAAGGAACTGAGGCCTCCTTACAAGAGCCACAAGCAAGTATAGGTGACATTGTAATCAGCTCCTCGACACCCCATTAAGCCTTCAGATGACCGTAGCCCCAATGGACACCTTGACTGCAGCCTCATGAGAGATTCTGAGCAAAGGTTACCCAGCTAAGTCATTTCCAAATGTCTAACTCACAGAAACTGTGTGGAAAAAATATTGTGTTTAGCAACTGAGTTTGGGGGTAACTTTAAAAATGTAACAATAAATAATAATCTTTCAACATTAAATGTGATGTTAGATATAGATCATTAAAAATTCATAATT